AGTCCTTAAAGTTTATCTTTGTTTTGTTTATATTTCTTCACTCTTTAACTATACATTTGGGAATTTAGTCATATCCCTTTGCTCTTTAGCTATATACCTAGGAGTTTAACTCCATCTTTTAGATAGTTCCACTCTATTGCCCTTGGCACATGTGCCCAAGGGTTAGTTCTACTTTATAGTAATTTACCATACAATACAAGCCATAAAAAATCAAGCTTTGGTGTTTGAGCTGCATTCCCAATAAGTAGAAGAGGTAGCCACGTCCATCTATCGGCTGCAAAAGGAGAAGAAAAATGCATTTTTTTACATGACCTTCCTCTTGTCTTGCAATGAAATTCATACCTACAGCAACTAATGCACACAATTGATAAATCTTGCAACACCAAGAGCAAAAACATAGAGCACAGTAAAAGTTTCTATAAGTAGTGGATCAAGTCCAAGATAAGTGAGTAAAAAAACATAGAGACTTGGCCTACCTTAGCCTTTTGCATCACCCAAAGCTAAGGTAGCATGAAGACAGCCTCCAAATACATACAAAACACCCACAAAACTCTGTTAATAAGGTGGTATTAGATGAGAGGATTTCATCACCCACACCTACTACCATGGCACTGGTCAACTCCAAGATTCGACCATAGCCCAACTCTTCATTTCTGACGCACTCCCTCACTAGCCCTACCTGTAATGCTACTCATGCCCCGCGAGCAAGCTAGCGCACTCCCTCACCAACCCTGCTTGTGGTGCTGCTCATGCACCACAAGCAAGCAGAGCGGCCATGATGACCATGCCCTCTTCCCTTTCTAGCCACATGTGTGTGCTACCCATTGGCTGCCACAACATTGAGCCAATATTCCTACAAACCATAGTCACTGGCCCTGACCTAGGCCAGGGTGCCCTCCCCTTTCTGAGAGTCATGGCTCTGGTCCCAAGATCGGACGGCTGCAGGGGTCCGAGCCCTTCATTCTTATATATATAGATAGAGTCAAAACTATATGCACTACATTAGGTCTTAGTTTTAGTTTCACTTTATAGTTTTTCCTTCATGGTTTTTTTTGAAGTGTTTTCAAACTCCACACCTTGTTCCCATCTCTTTGCTAGTTATTTTTTATCCATTTTCTTTTTATCATGTCTCATTTAATATGTGATATAATGAAGATGAAGGTACTGTAGTGAAAAAAAAAAGTTACTTATGCTTAATCCATATTTCTAGGTAACTCAAGTGATTGAGCTAGTTATTGTAATGATAGAAAGATTCAAAATCATTTATAATGGTAAATTAGTGCAGCTTAGAAGAGCTCTAACCCTTTTTACTATATAGTAAATAGAAAGGACATTGGCAGATCTATCTAGAGAGAATAAAAAATTGATATCTTATCTAAAAAATAGTTGCACAAAAGGTCTTGGGATACTTAGGATTAAGTGATTTTGAGTTTGAATAGTACTAAGTTGGATGACTTTCCAAAAAGTCCAAATTCAGAAGCTTACATTTGGTATTAGAGCGGTTTCAGGTCCAACTCCGTTAGTTCACTAACACATTTCGAGATTACCTCACTGACTTCATATAAATTTTTATGGATAACTTCAGCATCTTTAGCAGCAAAGAACAATGCAGGAGACAATGTGGCAGGGGATCGACTCTAAGTACATAGCTCTCTATCCAAAATGAAGTGAAGAATGGCATTGTACCCCTCTTGTGCGTCAACAAATTGGGAGGTTAATTGGTTGGATGATAAGCATCTTGAAGATGGCTAAGGGAATCATATCACATATTAAGATTGACATTTAGCAAGTTCAGTTTGCTTTCGGTTGGGCTTGACCTGAGTAGTAAGGTGTTAAGAGAGTGATATTAGGGGAATTATATTACATGTTGAGATTGACATCTAATAGGTCCAAGTTGCTTCCAACTGGGCTAAACATAAGGAGTATGGTGTCAAGAGAGAGGGGTTCTCGAGAGAGTTGTGACTCTTAACTTTTATTCACAAGGGCGTGAACTTATAAGGAAGTATAATAAATTGTAAGTAACCAAAGAAAATAATTCAAGAACCAAAACTCTTAACCCATTAAAAAAAAGAGTGCACTCTTATTTATAAGCCATTTTCCTTTATATTTAAACTTTTATGGACCTTGATATTTGAGGTTAAATGTCCTTGAGTTTGAATAATACTAGGCTAGGTAATTTAGGAGCTTATATTGTAATATTATTGTAGTGTTTTTACATTTGATTATATTCTTTCAATTGTAGTCATCCTTGTGATAATAAATAGTTTTCTCATGCCACATGAGAGAAGATGAGGCATGCATCTCTATTCTTGCCACATCCTTGCCACTATTCCCTATACATTTTACAAATACAAGTTATATATATTATTTTATATATATCTATCTATTATGTCTTTATATTAATAAAATAATATAGGGAATAGTGGTAAGGATGTGAGCAAGGATAGAGACTATCTTCAGTTTTGCCATGTGGAGGTCAAGTAAAGATGGGAAGGAAAGTGGAAGTATGAGAGTGTGGTGGAGCACCCTTATATAACAAACAGAATATAGTCATAACTAATAATATTCTATTTCTATTTATATATAAATCTATGAAATAAAAAATTATTATTATCAAATGTTTTACTACTTACAATTTTTTATTATATTCGTTTTAGTTTCCAAATGCCTTTGTTATTCAAGTCCTGCTACTGAAATTTGTTTTACAAATGGTAGACGGTTAGGAATTTCTAATGCTGATTATTGTTCTTCAATAACAAATATATTAAATGAATGGCATAGAAATCCCCTTCAAAGGATATATAGAAATATTAATGGAAATTTAAGAACTACTATAAACATACGTGAAAGGAGAACTAGGAATATAGCATTAGCAGAAGCTGATATAGTACAAGCTTTTAGATTTATAAGACGGAATTGTCTAATAAGGCGTCATATGGGTGGTCAAGTTCGATTACTAGATAGATCATTAATTGTGTCAGTAGAGATTATATCTACTGAACTCCATACTTTTAAAATATTACAAGACGAAAACTGTTAAACATATAAATTATTTATTTATATATATATAATCTTATTATATATTTACTAAATTAAAATTATACTAAATTATACTATAGTTATTAATTTTATTAAATTATTATTATTGTTATGTAGATACTTGAATATATTATATACCAATAAGAAAAATAAATTAAGATTTCGATGAGGAAAATACTGGGGAAGTATTAAGGAGTTGTTATGTCATACCATTGTTTCAGGTTGCCATTTGGAAAATTATATAACAGCCACTACATACTAACTGTCCAGATGAGAATTTGATTCTATTATAAACAAGGTGTAGCACTCATCATATTACTTTAGAATAAAGAAAAACAAGCATGAGCACAAGATAATAGAGGCTAGGAGGGACAAACCCAGCTTACAAGGAAGCCTGGGTAATATTAGCACTAATGCCTTTGCTCGAGTGAGTTCTGTTCCTTCTCTATGAAACGAGCACGATGAGAACCAGCGAGAGGATGGCAGCACTTATGCTGACGAACACGAAGAAGATGGCCTGGGGGTGGCCGCTGGCGTGGTCGAACTTGTCCTCCATGGCGTCTTCGCATTCCTCTCGGTGGGAGATGGCTTGCTGAGAGTCACCAGGTTAGGACTGTTTCAACACATTTTAACCGATTGGTCTTGTGCTTTATGGGGGGGGGCTCTGCAAAATCATGTAAACAATGAATGAATGAAGAAATAAAATGGCGACAGAATCAAACACTAAATGGCATACTGCATAATAATTTGTCAAAAGCCCTAGAAGAGCCCTAATTAGGACGGCTAGGGCTTTGGCGGCATGGCGACTCAGATCAGCAAGAAGAGAAAGGTTTGTCAAGCAATGCCGCTCCCTCCTCTGATTCTCTCTTCCAGTTCGTCGCCGATGGAGTGTTCTACGCCGAGCTCAATGAGCTTCTCACGCGGGAGCTAGCGGAGGATGGATACTCGGGCGTGGAGGTGCGTGTCACACCGATGCGCACCGAGATTATCATCCGGGCGACGCGAACGCAGAGCGTTTTGGGTAAATTCCCCTGTTTCTAGGCGGATTCACTTAGTAAAAGCTTTGATTCTAGGCGAAAAGGGTCGCCGAATTCGAGAGCTCACGTCTGTCGTCCAGAAGAGGTTCTCGTTCCCCGAGAGCACAGTGGAGCTGTATGCCGAGAAGGTGAACAACCGTGGCCTCTGCGCCATCGCTCAAGCCGAGTCTTTGCGATACAAGCTCCTGGGAGGACTGGCCGTCCGAAGGTTTGATTTTTCTTTCTTTTTTGGCCTTGGTGCTCAGAGTTCTCTACTTCGTCAGGGCCTGCTATGGTGTTCTCAGGTTCATCATGGAGTCTGGAGCCAAGGGTTGTGAGGTATGGACGAACTCTCGGCATTTTGCTCTTCAGGTTGTAACTTTATTCCTGGCTCCTTTCAGGTGATTGTGAGCGGCAAGCTCCGAGCCCAACGCGCCAAGTCGATGAAGTTCAAGGACGGATACATGATCTCGTCTGGCAGCCCCGTGAACGAGTTCATTGACAGGGCCGTGCGCCACGTCCTTTTGCGCCAGGTGCAAGAACTCGATCGTTTTGATTTGGATCCAGTTTCTAAGCATTGGATTGTTCTGGCAGGGGGTTTTGGGGATCAAGGTGAAGATCATGCTGGACTGGGATCCAAAGGGCAAGACCGGGCCGTCGACACCGCTGCCGGACATGGTGACGATCCAAGTACCCAAGGAAGAAGAGGAGTATGTTCCACGTCCTTATGTTGGCAAGGAGGATGTGTAAAGGTACTAGCTCTCTCTTGAGTCTTGTGTTTCCAAACTGAAAATGTAGCATAGGAAATTTTACAAGCTTATCATTTTGTCTTAAATAATATTTAGTATTGTCAGATGATACTAATCATCCCAGTTAATTTATAAAGAAAGGAAGATATTCTTGATATATACCCCAAATAGAATGTCTAAATGGAATCGATCGGACGGCCAGGTGGAAGCGACGAGTTTGTAAATAAGAAAGCTATGGCAGAATAAAAGTTTCTACCTGGACGGGTAGCGTCATGGAGCGAGGGTTATGCGCTAGGCGGTGGGATTCTCTGGTGGGATGGAGAGCAGCTGATCCGCTAGCAGCGTAAGGTGATTCTGGCAAATCGGCGATTGGATCTAGCTGCCGCGCGCCGCGCGGCTGATCGGGTAGGGTTTTGCGCGATCGATCGATATCTGGGAGCCGATCGCGTCCACCGGTGGCGGTGCATTTGCGCTGCTCCAGCCGAGAATGGAGGCGGATGCGCCTTTGGATTGCGCTCACTTCCTGCTCACGCCCACGCGCACGAGGTGGGAATTCGATCGAGCATTTTGGTTAAAGAAAACTTGTCGCTGTCTATCTGCGGGGTGTAGATGCGAGCTTGTGGTTTCCTCTGGCGATCAGACGGAAAAGCTAGCGTCGGGATTGCTGCAGCCTTTCTCGTCGCACATCAAGGCGGTGAACGAGGAGATCGACAAGGGTGGCTGCTCGATCAAACTAGAGCCATCTGGAGACGATGCTGCGTCTTGGTTTACTAAAGGTACTATGGAAAGGTACGATTTGCGATCTATCAGACTATCATGGATTGAACTCTTATTCTATTTGGCTGTAGATTTGTAAGGTTTGTGAGTACTCCCGAAGTGCTCGAGCGCGTGGATAGCGTGGACAATGAACTGTCTCAACTGGAAGAAACTTTAAGCAGACACAATGACGGTTCTGTGGTACTTTTCGCGGAAGCCCATTGTTGTGGCTAATGAATCTTCCTTCTGTTTAGAGCGGACCCGAAACTCCAGTATCTGTCAATGGGGAAGCATCGCAAGGCCATCTTGAAAATTTGCAGGTACTTCTTCGTGAATATGACTAGCTGCTAACTTTGAAGATGCAGAATTCTTCGGCTGGTGAACAAGAGAATTCGAAGTAAGCGGCATCTTCATAAAAATGCAGCATTTTCTGATGTTATAAATCTGCAGCTTACAGTTGTTGAAAGCGTTGGAAGCTCGTCGGGCAATATTGCAGAAGGAGAAGTCCATGGCTTTTGCGAGAGCAGAGGCTGCTGGATTCAGTGCGAAAAATACGTCAGATTTGATGAGGTTCGCCCAACAGTTCGGGGCAAGCCGTTTAAGGTAAGTTTCTTCAAGCCTTGTTAGAGAGTTTGATTTCTCTTTTTGCCTTTTCGCAGTGATGCATGTGAAAGCTATATGAGATTTTGCATGAAAAAGCGGGAAACTGAGATATGGTTGGAGGGAATGCAGTCGCATTCTCGTGGTGACGTAGAAGACGGTCCCAACTTCGACCTGACGAGTCATTCCATTGGAGACTTCATTAATGACAGTAAGGAATGCGACAGTAAGGAAGCCGCAGCGGAATCAGAAAGGGGCGTACAGGTCATTCTCGATCATGAGGAAGCCTCGGGACGAAGGACGAGTGTTCAAGAAAAGATAACTATGTTCGAAAGCAAGAAACAAGAGATCGAAGATAGGCGTCGAGTGTCGGTAGCTGATATTGAACGGACAGATACACAAAAACCAGTCTTGCGGAGGTGGAGTTTAGCTGCTGATAAGCTTGGTAGAAAACCGTCGGAGCCAGTGGAAAAGGGAAAAGGCTTGAACCAGTCTTCAATGGGAGGAAAGATAAAGCAGGAATTAGAGGGACCTGTAGATAGCAGTCTTGTAGAAGATTTGGCTACTGGTGCGATTGAGAACGTGTCTACGACAGGAAACGCCGGACCGCTGTTGCAAGAGCCAGAGCCTAGCGACGATCAAAAGAGCGTCTTGAGCGAAACACCGTCCTTGAAGGATACGAAGGGAAGGCTGTATGACACGTACCGCGAGCGTAGGGACGCTAAGCTCAAAGAAGGGACGTCAAAGAAAGCCGAGAAGCAAGCAAGGCTGAAAGTTATGCAGGAGAGTCTGAATAAAAGGAGAGCAGAGGTAGCCAAAACCTTGAGGTCAAGTAAGAACGATCCGTTGGCCGAGGCACGACTACGAGCGGAAAAAATACGAGCATTCAAAGCTGGTCTCCTGGAGTTGAAGAGAGCAAAGGTAAATTTTCTATCACCTCCGTTTTCAAGTTCTGAACTGTTTTTCGTTTTCGTTCTTTTTTAAAACCAGGAAGAGGAAGAACGGAAGCGTTTGGAAGAGCTTCGCTTGCAAAGATTACAGAAGAAAGTTGCTCCAAGCTCCCCGCATTCAGGTGCTTCTACTCCAAGATTACCAGCGAAAGCCACGTCGAGCAAAGGACTATTGCCAACTTTTCAAAGAGCAAGCACAACTCAGAGCAGCAATTCTCAGGGCAGCAGAGGCCGCAAACCCGCCCCGACGTTGGACAATCCTAGAAAAGTCCAGCAAGAGAAACCGGAGGCCATCGCCACGAAGGCAAATCTGAAGAAGGACGACGCTCGCTCACAGAACGCGAGGCTGCGAAGCATAGTTTTGAGAAGAAGCATGCCTTCGTCGGAGGCCCTGAGGAGGAGCTCGAGCATGGGGGCAGGCCACCGCAGGGAAATAGGGAGACTCTCTGGGGAGGCTGCGAGCAGTGGACTGAAGTTCCTGGACGCCGCTGCTACGGACCTGGGGGACGACGAGGTTTCATCGCCAATGATCAACGTAAACTGCAAGGCTGAGCGAGTCAAAGAAAAAGAAGAGGATGGAGATGAGGCGGCAGCAGCAGCAGCGAAGGAAGCAGAGACGCTGGTGATCCGAGCTCCAGTGACTGCAGACGATGATCTTCTCCCGGCGAGAGTTATCGACGCCGGAACATCGTCGCGCGAGGAAAACGTCGAGCCTGGTCCTCCTGGAGCAGCAGCGGTAGCGAGAGATGGCGGAGACTACATTGCTCCAATTGCACCAGTCTCGATCTCTCCAATGGTTGTAGTACAGACGTACAATGCGTGAGCCTGCTTTTATTTTTTGGTTGAATGAATATTTTTGGTGCTGTCTTTTATTATAATTAGTATTGTAATTAATATTAATTTAATGTAGATTACTCTTTATATCTACAGTAGAATGTAGGCCAAGAATACAACAGGAGGCCAAGAATGCCTACTTTTGCTCTCATCCAGGATAAGGCTCTGGCAAGGATTTTGCTCTCATCCAGGATAAGGCTCTAGTAAGGATCAAGCTCAGTTGGCTTTGATGGGGTCAGGAGAAAAATTTTAGACAAGAGTATGGCTTTTGAAAGAGATGGAGTATAACACAAAGTGTTCATCCTAGGGCAGACTCCAAGGCAAGTTCCAGATGCAAGGACCACTTTTGAAGGTCACTCTATCTCTCTATAATATGAGGTTACTTAGCTGAATAACAATGAATAGAGCTTGTCTGCAGCCAACTTGGAGTGAACTAATTTAATATTAACATCATATCAAGCATTTAGTTCAGTTTGAAGAATAATGAGTCTATATTCCTATTTTTTTATACATGTTTTTAAGCATTTACCATAACTAAAACTTCTTATAATGACACCAATGCTAAAATAACAACTTTAAATAAAGAGAGAGAGAGAGTGTGTATATATATATATATATACACATATACACACTCTCTCTCTTTACATACATATAGCAAAAGTAATCTTAGAGGGACCAAAAATGATAAGGAAATCAATTTACATGCATTGTATTGTGGTCTCATAGTACTCTAGGAACGGAAGGATATGCAGCAAGAAGTGGAAGATGCAACATCTCATAACGTTGTGCCAAGCAGAGAGTATCGTCAAGGGTGATTATGCACAAGTCCGACAAGATTTTGACGAAGTGTTGGCTATAACATTTTTAGCTTGATCCGCTTCGACATATTTGGCTCTGCACGAAGCAAGAGGCTTCGGAAATGAACACCAAATTGCATTACCAACTTAGATAACCTTTGACGAAGACAATGCAATTGTTAGAAGACATTATCACAATCGTCAGCATATCTGAATATGCATTTGAAAATGTCTAGGAGAACACTCTAACATAAATATGGATCATTGAATCAAGATCCATTCCACTTTCTATAGGCAATAGTTCTATTTTAATGGAGGTTGATGTTGCTGCTGCTTGAGTCCAAGGACAAGGGCGAGGACGTGGTCGTGTCCATGACGTTTGCTATTAGGCATGTGATGAAGTTAGTTACACTTATCGATGTTGTCGGCATTTTCCAGATTGGGGACCTCTATTTCCTGGGTGGAGACTTTGGCGTCAATAACGTTTTGTTGGTGCTACTACAGTGAAAGGTTTGGACACCGAGATTCATCTAGAAAACAAGGAGTCACACAAGTAACAGAAGGACCTTGTGCGAATAAGTTAGTAACCCTTCCATCTTTCTGTCATCAAGGGGTTCATTTGGCACCGATTCATCAAGTGTTTATTTTCCAAGCTCGTTTTTATAACAAAAGGTTTCCTATTATTCTCTTCGTGTTGGTTGATACAAAATCGAGTTTATTTTCTATTGCTCGACTTATTACCACACATTGTTATCTACACTTGCATCCTGAAATGGAACTAGTTTTCATTCTTTATGGTAACGGCCGTACACATGCATGTGCACGGGATGAGGTGGACCTGGTTGTGCATGTGGGCGATCTCAAGCTTGGGTTACAATCATTGTAGGTGGTGCCGGGTCAAACTTTTGACCTCATCCTTGGTATAGATTGGTTGCAGCGCAATCATGCCAAGTGTGATTTTGAGGCTTTTTCCCTTTGTTTTATACTTCTTTATATTTCATCTATTCCTCTCATTTTCATACTTTTTTGTCCCTCTACTTCTACCTCTACTTCTATTATTGTTATCCCCCCACTATTTCTTCTTATATTTCCATCTTATTCTACTTTTTCCTTTTCCAATCCCTCTAACAATCTTTGTGTTACAGTGGTTGACTAGTTCATAAAGGAGTATTCTGATTTTTTTGAATGTGGCAATCTTGGCCAAGATTGCCACATGTCATCTAATTCTAATTGGGGATGTTCATCCAATCAAAGTTCTTGTTCATTGTTGGTCATTCAAAGAGATCAAGATTTTACATGCAAACGTCAAAAAAATGTTGGAGAAAGGTGTTATTCGGAAGTTGTAGAGTTCTTAGGCATGTGAACTTCATTGTGAGACACAAAATCCCTAGGCCCCAAAGTGGAGCCGGAAGGGCGCCACATGGTAGTGGCCGAAGCGAGAGCCAAACGAGCGTAACACGTTTGGACCAAAAGCTCCGACTTGAAAAGTCAAGAGCGGGAGTGGAACTCCCAACGAAGTGCTCGAGGAACGAGCACGAAGTGAGCAAAAGGCGAGGCTCCAAAAAGGGACCCAAAAGGACCAACACATGACACGTGGGAGTGTCCGAGATGGACTCGAGTTGGAGTCCGAAGTGGAGTCCGAGATGGACCCGAGTTGGAGTCCGAAGTGGAGTCCGAGATGGACCCGAGTTGGAGTCCGAAGTGGAGTCCGAGATGGACCCGAGATGGAGTCCGAGATGGAGTCCGAGATGGAGTCCGAGATGGAGTCCGAGGTGGACCCGAGATGGAGTCCGAGATGGAGTCCGAGATGGAGTCCGAGATGGACCCGAGATGGAGTCCGAGATGGAGTCCGAGATGGACCCGAGATGGACCCGAGATGGAGTCCGAGATGGAGTCCGAGATGGACCCGAGATAGAGTCCGAGATGGAGTCCGAGATGGACCCGAGATGGACCCCAGATGGAGTCCGAGATGGAGTCCGAGATGGAGTCCGAGATGGAGTCCGAAGTTGAGACCGAGACCGGGACCGAGACCGGGACCGAGACCGAGACCGAGACCGAGACCGAGATCGGGACCGAGACCGAGACCGAGGCCGAGGCCGAGACCGAGGCCGAGGCCGAGACCGAGCCTGAGCCCGAATCCGAGTCCGAATCCGAGTCCGAGTCCGAGTCCGAGTCCGAGTCCGAGTCCGGAGCCTGAGAGGGTGAAAGCCCAAAGCGTTCGTCTCCCAGACCCTGGGGGGTTTGGTGAGCTCCAAAAGTATAGTAGGGGGAGGACTGCAGTGGAGCCAGTTTGGCCAGGAAAGGCCAGTTTGGCCCAGGAAGGCCGGACCCAGTGTTGGGTGATGAGCTGCCCACTGGGAAGTCCAAGACTAGAGTGAACACGGACCGACAAGCGGGGTAGCTTGGTGAAGTGTTCAAGAGCCAGCTCTAGTTCCCCCGGGAGATCGACTGGCCGATGCTCCCAGTCCAAGTGTGGGTGGCACTACCTACTTGGATACCTGGTGTGGCTCAACGGAACCCGCTCTAAGCCCATGGCTAGAGCACCCAAGGGCAGAAGGCGAGGAGAGTACCCAGGTGGCTCGTGTAAGGCCACGGTGTTCCGAAATGTTGTCCCAAAGGCCCAGACTGTGGAAAGGAAGAGGAGTAGGCCTCTAATGTAGAGACCAAGGATATGGTCACATGGTGAGGAAGTCCTAGAGGATAGTGGGACTTAGTGGTTGGGCCGGTGGGCCTTGATCCAGTGGCAGTGTTGGCAAACACAGCCAAGGACAGAAAGGGACTTGGTGGGGACCGGAACAGAGTTATTGGGGAAGGCTATTCCCCATGTCTGTAGGCATCCTAAGGATGTTAAGGAGTGGATCTGGGATGATCACTCATGGACGGATGACCCAGTCTTGGAGAGACGGGATTGGAATGCAGGTGGTGTTGGACCACCAGTGTGACCAAGGTAAATGGGTATGGCCTTAGCGTAACGGGCCGATACGTCGGTGGTACCTTGGGGTGTCGATCATGGGATCGGACACGTGGAGCACTTGGACCACGTGCTAAGGTTGAGTGGCATGGATGCCATTCTCGGGGCTAGCAAGCCCCAAGTCCTGAGTTGGACTTATGGAGGTTGCGAATGAGACTCCTCCAAGTGGTCAGAGGTGTGGTTAAGTGACTAAAGTAGAATGGAAAATTTAGTCGCTTACAACTTGGTATCGGAGTTGTTCCTTAGTCCGACTTTTATTGGTGCTCAAGTATATCACCACTAGTGTTGGCATCGGAAGGTCCGAGGAGTGGGCCTATCCTTGAGGAGTAGCAAGTCGGGAAGACATGGCTCTCCATTACAGTTCATGTGTGAACTTGTAGACGAGGTGGTGGATAGAAAAGGGCCAATAATGGAACGACTTTGGGATCTTGGGAACAGTATATGGTTTTCCTCAAAGAGTTGAGGATGTGATCCAGATGAGCGTTTGACTTAGCAAACTGGTAAACAACTACAGTTGGGATCACGGGAAAGATAAAGACTCCAAAGCAATAAAGGAGTCACAAGATTTTCCTCATATAGTTGAGGTTGGTGCTCATGAATGTGAGACCAGAAGTAATGACCATGGAAGGTCAAATACGGAAGAGGACTCAAGTCCTTGAAAAGGTAGCCGGGGCTACCTCTAATAAATGCTGGAACAACCCAAGGAGTTGGGGGTGTATTAAGTGGATGAGTTGGTGTTCTCATCACATGGACAAGTAGTCCTAAGGGGCAAAAGTTGCCCCCAGAGAACAAAATCAAGTGTCGGAGTAACACTTGTGAAAATAGTCATTTTGAGTAGGACAGGAATGCAAGAAGTGTATTCCAGTGAGCTAGTGCCTCACAAGTAGGACCTTACGGGTCTGTGGATTAACCAAGTCCAAAACTGCTGGATGACTCAAGTAGAGTCAACGGATGGTCCTAAAAGGACTGATGGAAGCATTTGGACTGAGGTGTGTTGTACCCCACAAAGGATGGGGGGGGATCATAGGATCCAAGGATGAGAACAGAGGGTATCTCATCGATGGCAAAATGTGCCATGCTAAAGTTATGGGAAAGGTGTTCCCAGAAGAAAACAACTTTGACATAAAGTTGTGTGTGACCTCTATGGTGCAGTGCTAACGGATGGTTGGCATGAGAAAGAGCGGTGTTGATCTTGGCAAAGACTTAGACACGAAGGGGAAATGTCATAGAGGTAGGCTCGTGGAGCCGATGGTGTGGAGACACCAAATGTGCCAAGGTGTGATACCTTAAGGCTATGTTGGTGGGTTCATGAGAACCCCTTGC